CGTTTTATGTAAGGTCTTGGTTGAAATGAAAAAGTTAGTGTTTCCTGTGTGTGACCTTTCCCCAGATAAAAAGAATAATTATTTCATATTCCATTCATATTATATTGTTAGGCTAAATATGTTAATTTTAGCAAGAAATTAATTTTTAAAACAACACAAATGAAATTAATGATCATTTTTTATTGTGCTTATTCCCTCTTCATAGTCTTAGAACTAAGGAGTGGAGATTAATGGTCAATTGGGTAATTTTTAAATTATATACAGTAAAACCTCCATTGTCAGAGCCCCGGGTCTCCAAATATTATGTATACAAGTACATATTTCGAGTAGCGGTCACTTCTGATTCGGTTAATGAATCCTCTGCCCCATTTACGGATGAATTCTAGAAAAAAAAACGCTTTCGAAGCTTGCTGACTTAGGGTGTCACAGGCCTTTAGTATCATTTTTCAATGCTACTGTGAAGACCGCCGTTTTTCGATTTGACTTTTGGAAAAAATTTACGATTTAAAAAAATGAAACTTTTCCCGTTAGATACATATTAATAAAAGTAAAGAATGAGGTGAAGAACACCCTTTCATTTTTTTGCGACGTTTCGACCTTTAGTCGGGTCATCTTCAGGGCATAAACTGTGATACTATTCTGCTGTTTTTATAGGATTGTGACACAATAGATAGATTGTGAGCACAAGATATAAATTGTGTCACAATCGTATAAAAACAGCATAATACAAATTCACAGTTCACAAACTTTCACACAAAACCAATATGACACCACAAGAATAGCAAAACACTTATGCCCTGAAAATGACCCGAATAAAGGTCGAAACGTCGGGAAAAAAAAGAAAGAAAAAGGTGTATTTCTAAACTAACTCATTCTTGACCGCTCCTCACGACTTCAACAAATTATGAAACAACAGGTCACTAAGAAACACACAATAAAAGTAATAAATGTACACGCGTCTTCTTAATTCACCTTTTAATTAACGTATTCAAAAATATATCCCTCCCTGTCAATAACCCGGATAATAGAAGCTTTACTGTATTATTATTGTGCACACTTTTGAAAACTTACGGCAGATAGACATAAATTGGTACTTGGTCCATGGAGGTGGGGTCGAGAAAGGAAAGGGCCATATTACAAGGTTACGCATGGACATCTCCCTCAAATATTAAGCGTTGAGCATATTTGACAAAACCAGAAGCTTGCAGGATAACCCTACTTCCGCCCGTCGCTAGCGTGTTTCAGGGAATGTAGGGAAACGTGAAAATCTTTATATGTTATTTGCTTGTTCTTGTGAATAATTTCACAAGCTGAGGTACCTTCGAGAGGTAAGCAATTCAAGAATCGGAAGACATATGTCACAAAGATCGGCGAAAGAAAGGCAAAACGAAGAATTTTCCGTTTAAAGCGCAGAGGGCCAGCGATGACCGCTTGATTTTTGTCGGCCCATAATAATACATACATATTATTGTACATATTTTAGGTTCATCTTCAACTTGAAAATAAATAGAGCAATTAAGGTATAAGTACAATAATTCATTACAGATTAATTTATTTATATGATATCTTTTTCAATCGTCTTTAAAGCCTTAGGTAAAGGGATGAGTGAGTTGAGCGCTTCCGACAAATTCTAAACTTATCTATCGTCATCGTCTTTATGATCAATAACTACCGCCCTTTAACAGGTTCGAACATGAGCTAAAGAACTGTTTCTAGGAACGGAACATGTCTTTACGGCTGGAAAGGGTTTTTAGCCTATTTAAATAAGAGGCTCTCCGCTCCGGAACCGGCACGGGGTAATTTACAGGGGGCGTTTTATATTATCAATAAACGGTATCCGAGTGCAATGCCGTCCGGTGCACAAAGGACCGTAAACTCGCAAAGTTTACGACCCCTGTAATTATACGCGAAGAGGATATCCCAGAAGGGCCGAATCCTCAGGAGCAGTGGCGGCTTCCCACTTAACCCCCTAATAGAGAGCCGAGGCCATCTGACGCACATTTCTCTGGTTATTAGGCAAATACACAAATTTTAGTATTTTATGTGTACAAAAAAAATTCTTGCCAGGTTAAAGCAAAAGGAAAAACTTTTACTAAACCATCAATACAACTCGAAGATAGCCGATATCGTATGAATTTTGAATATTTTTAATTGTACAAATCACTAAAAGAGCAGATAGATTAACCTAGTCTCCGCAGGTTTTCGCTGTATGATTCTGCCCGTCGAATAGATGACATCTACTACAATACTACAAAGAACAACGAGACTGACTTATACTGAACTGACTACGATTAAATTCCTACATACGTCTCAACAAAACCCAGCGAAAATAAGCGGACTAAGTTATACTATGAGAAACTTAAAACAAACGCTCAACTGTCAGACTAAGAAAATAACAGTAAAGGTGGCCATCCACGATCTCCAAATGGAACCGCGGCAAGCCGTACAGCTCCATTTCGAGTGCCTGAAATTGGAGGGAGCATTCACGACCGCACCGCTCCACAGCCAGTCGCTCCGAACGTCAACCAGTGACCTTCTCAAAATGGATGACGATCTCTTATGCTACGCTTCTGTTTATTTATACATTAAAAGCAAAAAATCGAAGAGGAAATGGTGTAAGAAGTGGCTCCTGAACAGAAGCCGTAATACCCACATCAATTTGATGAAAGATCTTTCCCTTGAACCCGCTGATTGGAGGAACTATTTAAGGATGGATGAAACGTCTTCTTTATTCATTTTATTTAGTGTTCTATTGACCAAATTACTTCTTCCAATTAATTAATCTTTTTTGTAAGTTTTGGTTGAAATGAAAAAATAGTGTCACGGGCTAAATACGCCGCTGCGCTAACTATGAGGTATCGTGACTTCGATAGTTCGATCCACTCGGACACCAACTCCCCATCTCAACTTAAAACCTTTCGAATTTTCTCTCTTTTTGCCATTTTTTGGTGTCGGAGAGGATCGAAGTCACGATAGCTCAAGTGGTAGAGCAGCGGCGATTTAGCCGAAGGCCATGGATTCAGATCCCGCTCGTGGCACTATCTTTTTCATTTCAACCAAAACCTTACAAAAAAAAAATTACATTTACTCCAGCTTGTTACTCCCTTGATTAGAAAACAAAAGAGAAATCATCACTCTACACGAAAGGTTGGCAACCTACGTTCTCTAAGTTCACTTAAGTTCTCTACTACGATTTCTGCTCAGCGCTTAGGGGTTATCAATACTGCATCTCTCGTTGCATTTGTATCCTTTGTTTTGAAAAGGTCGACCAACCGGCGTTGAGGACCGAATTTCTTTTATTTCTATCGTGGTAATCATTGTCCACCACTATCCATACATATGGTAAACTTTCATACAATTCAATCACCTCAACAATAAAATCTCGATTGGATGTCATTGCCAATAAAGAATAAACGTTTTCGACTTTTTGAGAATGTACGATGGAGATGTTTGCTCAGTGACGGAAAGACGGAGACTGCGCCAGAAAAAACGCGGGTTTTCCCGTTCACGACCAAGCCAGCGTTCCAACATTCCACCGTTCTCGCCAGGTTTTCCCATTCACGAAGCCTTCGTCGCGCCGTAGATATTTGGAGTGGCGCGATGGAGTTTGGACCGGTCGAATATTCGGCACAGCCGGGCACGCCAGTTCAGTTTTGCCATTGACGTGGTTTTTGGAACGGCGTCGCTCCGTTTGGACTGCTAGGATCGATCGTGAATGGCCATCTTTAATCTTTGCCTTTAGCGAATTTCTTGTAATTTATAAATCATAAAATGCAAATTCGTTGTGGGACGTCCCAAACTCCGGACTTAACCACCGCCATCCGGCGGCGGTCTCTTACGCCATAAATCTATTTTAAAAAAGTGGCAGGGTCGGTGAGCCGGGTCGCAGAGAAGCTCTCATGTATCAAGCGCAATGTCAACGCATGGCTCTTGGTAGACCTTACTCGTAGAAGAAGGGTCACTCACGCGAATGAGGAAAGGCCATGTGAGATTGACACACGGACCCTTACTTTTGGACCAAAGCCCGCATTTGTGTCGAGTATGTAGAGGTTGCTTGATGTGTGATCACCTAATTGATTGATTGAACACCCTGGTTCTATATCGAGAGCGTGTAGGAATGCCATCTGATAAGAGAACTGTGCTTGAGCAAGACTTGGTCTCCTGTTCCGATTTTTAGATGAAGCATGGTATATAAAATTTATAGTTGTGCGGACCCTAATGTGTGTTGAGAGTGAATGTATTTATTAGAGTGAATGTGAAGTGTGAGAGGGCCGATGGCCGACAATTGATTATAAATTACGAAAGCTTAAATTCCCCCCTAGAAGTGTCAACTCTGTACATTTGACAATGTATGTTCATACATGTGCAAATTTGAGGTTGTATAAATCAGAAATTACTAAATTTGTTGGAAAACAGATAATGGCATATATGATAAACAATGATTTTGGTTTTGTAGAACAACAAGTCAATTATCTCATTAAAAACAGCAAATGATTCTAACGATCGACGACTTCCAAGTAAGTTTCATCATAATGACTACAAGGAGAAAGATCCTATTAGTTTGGGATCCGCTTCTAAATATGGTCCTGTCATCATTCTGCCCATTTCTTCCCTTATTTTCAAAAAAATTATAAAAAATAGCTCCCGTCCTCGTAAGTCTCGGCCCTTTTTTCGGATTTGTAACGGTCCAGGTTGTTGGCCGGGGCGACTCGGGCTGCTGTGCCTTTTTGCCTGAGTAATGGTGAAAGACATAACAAGAAATGTGTAGCGTATGCCGTTTCAGGACGAAACAGTTACAACTTTCCTTAATCGGATATTTAAACCCGTGCGATTCTTAAAAATTTCAAAAATGCATTCTGCGCCTTGAATTTGTCGGTGGAGTCCAAAGGGGATTTCTACATTTCTATACCGACGAAATGAACATGGATTTCACAGACCGTGAAGATTATTCGCTTTGAGATAGGAATGGTTGAAATTAATTTTATGGCAATTCAACATACCTGATAGTGTCTCGGGTGATACGAAGGAGTTTGAATCATATCTGTGAATATGTCCAATTCTTGTTGAAGCTGATTCGTCACGGCCTCGATTTCCTCATCGATTACCTCTTCTCCAGTTTCGTTTGGCTCGTCGCCGGCGCCATCCCTGTCCAACAGCCCCTGGAAATAAAACATTTTTTCCATGAAACTTCTGAAACACCAAGCCTTGTCAATTTCCAGAACCACAATTTTGACCGTTAGCATTTTGTAATTTGGTGTGTGTGGTGAATTCAATTTAGATGCCGAGAATGAGACAATTTAGATGCCGAGAATGAGACATACACAGCGAAGCCAAGCGGACCACTATGACCAAACTGTTGACAATCTCTTCGAATCTTCCCAATAATTTTCTCCATTGTCTTATTTTATTAAAGCAATCATGTAAATTTATTTATGTCGTTTATTATCCGTTTTCCAAATACATTGCGGTTTGTTTACAACTAAATGAATATTTCACGACGATTTTTTGGCAGGAATTTATTCATATATATTCTGTACTTCAGTTGTTTCATTTTATACTGGTCCGCCTACGTTGCTATTAATCTGAACCATGTAATTAATGATTATTTTTTTATTTCATTCTCTTTATATATCATGATATTTGAGCTAAAAATGTTAATGTCACGAAAGGGATTCGAACCCATAGATCAAATGGCTTATTGATCTGGGTGTAAAAAATTGTAAAAAAATCTTTTAAAAAAATGTAAGTAGCAATAATAATTTTAAAAAGTATGTCAGACACATTTTAGCATGTTTAGTGGTGGGTTCATACGGTCTGGATTATTATTCAATTTAGTGAAAAATAGTTAGGCTCCTACTTTTCAACGAACCTTCGAATTCCCTGGGGGAAAAATAATTTCTCAATATTTTGTTTGAATTATTGTGACAATTGCAACAGAAGTACTGTAAATAACATATCAACGAAAATTGCAAAATGCGTCTGACCGACAAAATAGCGAAGATAGGCGGACCAGGATGCGAAACTATGAGATCATCCGCCCGTAGACCCCAGCAAGAAAACTCACAACTCTTAGTTAAATTTAATTTTGCTATACAAATCAATAGTGAATGGTAATGCAACGGCTTTTAGTTTTGTTTAACCATTTAATTTACATTTTTTCTGAATTAATAGTTTTGTTGAAAGCCTGAATTCTTTTCTTGTTATAAATGGCCTACGATTGATCAACCCGTTTGAACAATAACATTTTAAAAAAAATGTCGTAACAAGAGGTGAGTATGTCAGTCAATAAATACCAACAAAAAAAGTGTAAAAGTTCCCAAATGACGACGATTTATTTGAACTGTTGATCTGCGCCATTGCGCAAGGAGAGTGCATAATTCAGGCTGATGAATCGGCTGTATTAGAGAAGTGTCAGGTAGAAGAAATTACGAAGAAGAAAGGTGAAGAAAAAAGTTCAGCACGTAAAAAGGCCGATATTTCACGATTGCAAATATGGAGGCTCCTTGTAAGAATAATGTTAAACCGCAGGATCCTATCCATCAGGAATCCTAGACCGAAAATATTACCGGTAGTTTATAATTTTAACAATAAATTACCTCAATGCCGTCATTCAGGCCAATAAGCTCGAGAGCCTCTTCGAGTGAAAAGTCCGGATCGGGAAGAAGGGCGGATGGAGGTTCGTCTTCGCTCAACTCTTCAGAAGGGCTGTTGCTTCTTTCTTCCTTCAAAATGTACTCACCTAAAAAAAAAATGAACAGTCAAATCAATGCGAGTACGCTGTAAACAGTTTTTTACGTCATAAATTTCCCTATTGTACTTCCCAGCCCTTTTATAAACAATTTTGATAAAGAGGTACGGAGTGTTTCATACTTTGGGATACATTATTTTTGACCAGAATGAATGCACAAAGCAGGTGAAATTGTTGTCCGAAATAACCGACTTTTTATCAATTATAATTATTAGATAAATTCACTTCAGATTAAAGATTAAGTCCTTAATGCCAAAACTTTTAAGCTTTTTTTGGAGGGGGGAGGTTTTATCGTCTATCCGCTCAATTACATTTCTTTATGTTTGATAGCCAACAATCTATCCTATTGTTAAATCAGACTTTAGCAAACTTTCTCTCCACATTCTATTCAACCATAAATCGATTTAAGACTATGTACAACGTGTTAAACTGTTGTTTTCAGTTTTTAAGGTATTTATTTAATTACAAACATTTAATTTATATTGGCGAATAAAGAAAGTTAAACAAATTCTTTTTGAAATGACTTGTCCAGGGAAATATGGGAGAAGGAACGGGTACTGGCCAACGCCACCTCTTGAGAGGTACTTGAACTCTCGAAACGGGCCGGCTTGAACGACCGACGGCTGAACAAAATGGCGAAACATTTATAAGGAAAAGAAAGATATAAACAAAAAACAAACACAACAAAGTTTGTAGTTTCGTAGCCAAATACACAATTTGAATGCGTAAGAAGGGGCGGACAAATGACAACAAATATCAAAACTCTTCCGTAAATAGATACGTTTTTTCTTTGCATTTTCTCAAATAAGGATATATAATGTTTATACTGAACAATAAACAAAATTATTTAAATATACTCATTTACTCATAGGTTCGTAATCCAGCAGGATCCTATTGTTACATTAATGTCAACAAATTTCGCAATTTACTTATGAAAATGGGTCAAATATTTCAAGATAGGCTGCACTTTTCGAAGATAGGCAGTTGGCGTTGAGCCGAAACATGCCTGGCCATAGATAATCGCAAAGAATGGGCGAACCGTGGGTTGATTATTAATTGTAATATTGTTAAGCCGTCGGTGATGAAGTCAGTCAATCGCAACAAATGTACGCCCTGGAATGTTATATCAAAATACATTATTTAACGTTCCTAAAAATCAATCAGAAATGAATTTACTAAAGATTGCTCGATCCGCATACTACAGATTTTACATGACCACGCGCCATTTATTAAATACAACGTTAAACAGTTCATAAATTAATGTCAATAAATATTAAGAAATATAGAAAATACTTAGAGTAAAAGTGGAATTTGCTAAACATTGCATTGCACAATGCACTTATTAAACTGTGGCCAATACTGAAATAGTAAGGGGAAAAAAATTGCACTAATCGTTCAAAGAATCATATCCGCACTACAATTTTTTTTTAAATCAAACTACGAAAGTCTGTAAACTTTTTTTTGTTCAAACGACTCTTCGATTTTTGTACTTTGTTTTCCGTCATTATAAAGGCCGTCATACATTTTCATCCTCAGGTTCCATAATTACACAAAATTGTCGTCCAATTAATTATAAGCGGCTATATTTATCCAATCGTAATCAAGTAGTGAATTATCCTTGATCCTTCGCAAAACTGACTAGTTATTACTACGCTAACGATAACGATCGTTCTATTAATTACGATAAGAAAAACTATGCCTTTTTTTCCCGGTAAAATTACACTTAAATACTTGCTAGTCCGGCCAAATCTTATCAACAATCCACCTACGTTATTAATAAAAATCAGAAATATATTTGAAAAATAATGTGCTTTTACTTTGTATAGCATTATAAAAAAAAACTTTCCCGCTTTTTGAAAAATATCATCAACAAGTATAATTGTCAAAGCAATAATATTGAAATTAAATACCATAAAGACCTGAATAATTGTTGATAAATCATATTTTAGTATTGATAGGTTAAAAATATTATTGATTTCAGTCATACAGTAAAACAATACAATGACCGTAAATATTTCTGACAATATTAAAATAGCTAAAACTTCAGTGAAACATTTACACGTACAAAAATTAATAATGATTCCGATCTAACCAGTTTTTAAAAATGTTTAGGTTGTTGCAACAATTAAAAAAAATTACATGTAGAATTCATAACATTATCTGGTCATGGTTAATTGAATTTGATATTTTCAATAAATATATATATCACTAGTATCAATAAATAAATTTGTTGAAGCAGTTCACTATTTATTTGTCTGTATGTATCATCGATGAGTTGAAAGTGGTGTCACAGGTGTTGACGTTATCAGCGCATTTATCAAAAAGGACAAAAATAATCGTGTCAGCCAAAAGACTTCAATGTTAAAACATTAATTTAATGCAAATGTTAAACAGTTATCATAAATAGAATAATCAGGTTGGTGAATATAAACTAATTACTGATGTGGAGAAAAGATTAAAAGTTTATTATGTGCATGAATAGAGAAGGTGACAAGAGAAAGCTTCTGCATGAAAAGATGTATAATTTCTCCAAGAGTTTAAGCATCAAAGGGGCTCAGAATTATAAAAAATGACTTCAGGATTCCAGGTAGGCAGACTTTCAAATATTTTGCAGAGAAATATGAAAGAGGAGGTATATGATTAATACATCTGAAGGCTCAGGAGGCTTTTTACCTGAGTTACCATTAGTACCGAGGGTAAACAAAGCCGGAGGGCTTCCATATAATCTCAAACAATATCAGAAACTAGCTGACTCATGGGCAACATGTTATTTTTGGTAAAGGATGAAGAAATTTTATACAACTTTACCTTAGAAATAGGGTATCACATTCACAGGTACCACTGACACTGACTGCGTTACACAATGTCCGAGAGGCTGCGAGAGACTGAACTTCTGGGACAAGATGGCTGCCAGGGGGGTCGGGGCAGAAAAGTTCTCTCTCCACATAGCCGCATCGCTTAGCCCCCCTCCTCGTTCACTCACAGACACAACGATAAATGGTATACAATTTCCTAATCATACTTCCCAATGGTCTTCCTTTGTCTGACCCTAAGCCTGAACGACTTGCTCTTTTGTTTTCAATAAGCGACACATTTTGCATCAAAAGATGAATGTAGACAAAAAAAAATTATCCGATGATGTAGAAAAACAGGATTATCCCTGGTTTTTTTCTATTATTGGCAAGGGTAAGTGCCCTCAATTCTTAAGAGTGATTTGCAGGAAATCGGTGGACATATAGCTCACCAGCGACTGATGAGCTCATTTTTTGTCCAGGCTCATTGTCTTGAATCAGTGGACAACCGTTACACCCTGTCATCCTGTTTACTCTCGAATAACCAACAAAGTTCAACCACCGTCACTTTTTCCCCATTTCAAGATTACCAAATTGACCCATTAAATAAAACTGAAAAATTTCAACCGTCACATTAGACTAGAATAAACAGTATTTGTAGTTGGAATTTCATTGTTCATGACAGCACAAAAGAGAAAACATTAAACATTGAACATCTTAATTCAGAATAATAACAGTATAATAATATAAATAAATAAACTCAAATTCATTCAATCTCCTATGTTCAGTACATGATTTTAAGTTAAACAAGTACTTGCACCACTCTAAACTTAGCAATCTTACTGACACTCACATTTTTTATTTACTTAATATGGTTCATCAGCAATATAAAAACTGTACGATTTACTATGATTTTTTAAGACAATCTGCAAACAATGAGAAGTGTGATTTTGACTGTTATCCTCCATAGGATATAGACTTGCCAGCTGTGTCATGGTGACTTTAAGCATCTTCATGCTTCAACACACTAGGTCATCCACTCTCGAGTTACTTTATAGAACAAGCATTTGTTCCTTGCAAAAATACTGCCATCATCTGAAAATTCAGTTTAATGAAAAAATTTGTGCTGAAATAGGCCAAGCAGTCTAATTCAATGGCCAAATCCTTAATGTAAAAGTTGATAAAAAATAAACGAATAAAACAATCAATGAATACATTTTAGCAAGAACAAACATATTATGAGCAGACATTAGTTGATTAATCTTTATTATTGTTCAAAAAATGAAAACTGAATAGGCTGAAAGTACAATGAAACTAAATCAATAAAACAAGAACAAGCGTGGCGCCCTCGAAGTTGTGTAGTAATTCTTTTCCTCATCAACATCAAACAGAGCCCGTCTATCCTCGGTTGAGTAGTAGAAAAGGGAGGAAGATTTCTGCTTCGTCATGGCCTATCAGAACGAGGGTAGTACCCACCCTTATAATTAATGGTTGCACGCTTATCCTCCCCTAGGGCCCGACAAAATGCATTTGGTGAAATGCTGCGTCTATCGATCCAAGAGGAAGAGCCTGAATACACTGGGCCCAATCAAAATGCTTAGTGTGGCATAGGCGGCTGATGGCGTTCATGTTGAAGATTCATGAACAATGAGGGGAACTCCAAGCAGATCCGTATGAATTACAAATTTTATAAAAAGCAATTATTTAAACGAAAAATGAAATGTTTTATGTTAAAGGAAAAATTGTCATAAAAAAAGCTTTTTAAGAACAATTCTGAGAAAAATTTTCTCAGATAATTAAACAACAATCAAGTCAAATTAATGCGTGTCTTTATATTATCACCAGTCTATGGGAAACAAAGATGTGCAGGTTCAGTGCCTGGGCACCTGAAGAGATGTTGACATGGGTTTCCTATCATTATATGATCAAAGATCAAAGTACTGAGTGCCGGCTCTTGGCTCCCTTTTAATCTTCCATCTTTCCGACCCCTCAACATGCCTAATAGGTACGAGACGGCAATGCCGCTAATATCTATGGAATTCTACTTTCTAACAATTTATTTAATAATTAATAAAGATTATGTTTCATAAGTTACAAAGAAAATTATGACCATTATCTAACGCGAAGCCATTAATCTTGGATAAGGATATAATCGAATCAGTACACCGTAGGTGTGCGAGGCATACCTGCCCAAAATCAATCATAAGCACATGACAGAAATCCATTAGAAGGGAGAGGGATTTCTGGTCCTCTTGGGAAAACAAACAAGGTTTGTGAGATGGATTCATTGGTTCCGTAAAGTGACAATGAGAAGACCACGAATCCTGGCTTGGGACCGCATCAGTCTATTGTACTGCCTCAGTTATTCACGGAGGAAAGTGTAGATAAACTGTAAGAATGCTTTGTATATGCAGCTGGAAAACATCAGTTTCACACCGACAACAGTGTAATCTCTTTTCTACCATCACCGGTTTACTTTTAAAAAAAGGAAAAAAAATACTACACAATTAATTGAGAAGGTTTATTATTAAAGAGGAACTTTCAATGTTTTCCATCTCCTGAACAATGATCGAAAGTAATTGAAACGGATACACATCCTCCCCAAAAAACAAAATGGCCTCCGGTCTAAGATTAATGACAAAGAGAATCTGGCAGGGGATAATAGGGCCCGTCGCTGGAAATATGGCTGTTTTGAGTAATGGTCCCTTGCTGTCTCCCTCGTACAATCCCACTCACGATTCTCAGCCATGGCAGTCTTTAAATCTCAATCTAGTCACAACCCACCGGCATTAAATCCAGAATGTATTCATTTCCACTGTGACCCTTCCCAGGACGTTCTAACCGTGATAAACCAGAAAAACATTTTGTGTGACTAATCGAAAAATTCATTAGGAGAATCTCCCTTACGTTAATGCTTATATGTCAGTCATGCTACTTGCCCGTTTCTAAATCTATTGTGTAGGATTTTGCAGGCCAGGGTTCTGCTTCTTTTTCATCCTGTAAAAATATTTAAAAAAATTAAGTTAATATTAGTAGAATATTAAAAAGTTTTATAACATTATAAAAGCAGAAAAGTTAAGAAGAGAAAATATGCCATTACATAATACATAAACTGTGAAAAGATTTTTTTCTGTCACACATCTTTAACTTAGTGTGACATACTGTCTTTGTATTTTGTACTAACATACAGATGAATAGGGATAGAAAGTGTGCGGAACATTTTTATGTGCAAACTTGCAAGAAAAAAACCTAGGAAAAGAGTAAAGGAAAAAAAGTTGTATAAGTGTGGAAGAGAGTAGGGTGCGTGGGAACGGGGATTATACGGTGGTACATTCCTGGGACGCCTGAACGGTTATGGAGTGCACAATGCGACCAATGCCTTTGCTCATCCATCACAACCTCTAAATAACTGTATTGACTTGCCCTTTCTTCAACAAACTTTTCCTATCGCTCATTCATCAAAAAATAAATATCATCAAATAATAAATTTCACCGTGGCTATGTCGCTAATCAGGATCTGTTTAATGCAGATATGTTAGCCCGATATACCTGGGCCGCCTTTTGTATCAGCATGACTTTTAACTTTCAGACTAAAAAATCCTTCATCTCAACCTCCTGCAACAATATTTACACGGCAGGTCATTTCACCGATCCCAATGAAAACAAGCAAAATTAATTATTAAAATTAGATTTTTTACCGTCAGGAAAATGGTTTGATTTTCAACTAACCAACTTATGTGTAGGTTTCATTTTGTTCATTTTTATTATTATTAATTATGCTCTTTTAACATATAAAGTAAAAAAAAAATTATGACTGAAAAATTACTTTCATTGGTTCACAAAAAAAGTTTACCACTTTTTTTACCATCTCAAGTATATCATATACAGTATTACAAAATAAAATTATTACAAAAAAAAAGTTTGCAATGAAACAAACAATTTAAATTCTGTTGTAAACGAGTTCTTTTTTTCCACCCTAGTCAAGTCGATATTATTGGCAAATGTTACGAGTTCTTCAGCAAGTTTTAAATGAAGGGTTCTCGAAGAACGGTCTTGAATTAACATAATTCGGGGCAGAGGTAGGTGGGCGTGAGTTGATCAAAGGGAGGAATTCAAGGCACACATCTCAATCGTGGCTGAGTGTTTAGAGCCGGGCTGTCAGGAGGCCCTGGTCCTCGCCTGTCAACATCAATTAAAGGCAGTCTGTCTGAATTCGTGCACAGTCATCTTCATAAGGGAGAGATACACGGGATCGATCTAACTAACTTTTATACATCCACAACGTTCACTACTTCCTTCCATGCCTTCTGTGCCCTCATGGAGAGAAAATCAAATGTGATTAACAATTGTAGAAAAATTTTCTTTACGGATTTAATCAACAAACTTACAATTGTTCTTGGAATTTTCCCTTTTTTTAAAGGTTAAATCAATAACATCCACACACAACAGTCATTAAATTATGCAAAAAAATCAAAACCTTAGTATATAATTTTATAAACAGTTTAAACTGTTTTTATAAAAGTGATTAAACATGATTGCAGAAAGATAATAATTTTTCAAAATATCTAACCAAATTTGATTGGCATAAACTTAATGTCCAGTGCACAATTTTGAAAGTATGCAGTGAACAAGTGAATATTGCAAATTGCACAAATTTATGAAACAATTATGAAAGTTATCTATTAAAATTACTTACATTATCAGTCTCCTTTTTTATTTCGGGATCAGCAGACTCCTTTGTGATTTTTGAGTATCCAATTTTTTCCTGGGTTGGGTCTGAAGACAATTGATTCTGCAATGCTTGGCTTTCCTCCAAAGAAAAGCCCATATCGACATCCTGCTTCCATAGGATCTCTATGAGATCCATATCCTGCAACAACATAACGTATTATTAATGATAAATATATTTTTTATTACATCTCCATATATCCTATAGTTTTTATTTATGAATAAACATTTATTTATGAATAAGACTCTCTCTTATTTAATACATCCCAAACAAAGCACCAGAAATGCAGTTATTTTCCGTCCCTATATTGTAACGATTATGTATGAATAATTAAACTATTTAACCTGGGAGAAGAAATAATATCACATTATAAATAAAGTAAAAATAGATAAATATAATGAATTGGGAACATCAACTGAGTTAGACCAGAATGTAAAATGTACGTTTCATATTTAAAATGTCGTAAGCATTACAATACACATTGTTTTGTATTCTGTCACCTAGTTCATTTAGATTGTCCAATTTGATATTTCTTATGTTGTCAGTGTGGTCACTAAATCCGTTTATCATAATTAATTAAAAGGCTAATGCGTTGCTTCATCAACAACTATGACAAATGTTGGGATCTGTTAGTAAAATAATTTTTAGTATAAACAAAAACTAAACTTAAATTAACAATTAATAACCGAAAACATTGATTTTTACAGTTAAAATTGATTACTAATTTATATAAGCTCAAATCTGCGCACACATGTACTACACACATGTGTAAAGTTGAGCCAATTATTTTTCACAGTCCACTGGTAATTCCAGCTTTTGTAATTTACAATAAATTACTGGCAGGTCTCAAGAATCCCCTGGGAAGTCCTGGGCCCTATCTCGGTCTTATCTATCCATCCGCTGAAGTTGGGCTCCGGGTGCTAGATCATTTCCTCACCCAACGCAATCCTAGATCCAAACAGATTCACACTCTTGTTCACTCTTAAAAGCATTTTTTCCTTTTACATACTGTTCACTCAGGTAGGGTGGTGAACTCGATATTCTACCCTCACCCAGTACACCTTTATATAATTGGGGGTCGATGGGGTACTCAATATTCTGTCATCACTACACATTCTCGCTAATAAATACATTTACTCTCAACATACACTAAGGGACACAAAACTTACTACAGACAATAAAAACAACCTTGTTTCCTCCAAGAATTAGAAAAGGAGACCCAGATACAGTTAAAAGTTCGTTTAGAAGAAACCAGCGAGATTGTTAGTTCATAATGATTTTTCTTATTTATGACGTAGATATTTAATTCATATATTGTGTTTTCCCCCCTCCTCGAGGGTATTTCAACTACGAGGTTATATGAACCCCCAGGGTGCCGATGTTTGAAAAAAAGCCCATTTGTAAGTATGTCGGCATCGAATGCAGGGCCGCGGGATTCGAACCTGGGACCGAGTCAATACTTAAACCATTGCGACCACAGACGCCTACACTACATGTATTGTAGGTTGTATTCGTGGGTTCGAATCCCGCTCGTGCCATTGACTTTTTTATCTCAACTAAAAACCTTAATTAATTGTTTACAATATATGAATTGATTTTTTTTAAATTTAAATAGTCTGTTTTTTGTTTATGTAATATCTAATTAAACTTTTATGTATCAAAGGCTTTACTGATATTCAATCGTTCTTTGATAATGGAATTTCACCACAAAAGTACACGAAACTCGAAAAAATCGTTAAACATTTATGACAGGAAGAATTATCCGCCGATGACAGCTTGAGCTTGATTCGCGGAGGAAAAAAAGAGAGGGTACAAGGTAATACACAAGTCGGTTGTCTCAATGTAAACGGTTTTGGCATGTGGATCAGGATGTGATAAATTATGGATAAAACCTTGGTTCTTTCAGGCAAAATCGCCAACACGAAATACGATTGTTGATTAAACGTACAAAACAAAGAGTTGCAACGTCACGGCAATGTGATAAGCACAATGAGGAATCAGTTAATTAAAGAGTTAAATACCACACGAATTTCAACATAATCTGACTTGTGACACAAATTGATCTTAATCTTAACACAGAAATAATATTATAAATACAGCCTCTGTAAAGGATTATCTTAATAGGGCATAAATAACGGTACAAAATAGATGACTATCTTGTGCTTTAATGAGAGCGCCTGGCGCTATATTTGAACCCACCTTGTTCAAAGGATATTCCTTGAGTGTCATATTCGAACATAAAAAAGAAAAAGAAAGAAAAATAATAAAGTCTTCTTAAACGAGAAATCTAGACCGGAGCGAACTCGGGCAACTACTGATCAAGAACGCCAGAGTTTATCTCTCGGCAGTTGAACAATAAGATAAGGTTTCACATGACGTTTTTTAGAGGGGGTGTGTCTTTTAAAGGTTTAAAACGTACAGCAAGAAAGACCACGCTGATTTGCCTGAGAATCGTTTTGAACAGAAAATTTGACCAGAAGGGCTTATCTATGACTATTTCGTTCGGCAGGTCGCCATCTTGACCGGTTGTTTCTCACTGTATCAGTTCCACAATGAAGATGGCGTAAGGCCGAAATGCGTTTGAATAACTTAACAAACCCCCAAGGGAAGACGGACCCAATAAGTGATCGTATGTCGTCGTTTTGTTCAGCGTGGGTCCACCGACTCGCAGATCTACACCCAGCAACTTGACCAGCTGAGTTGTAGACAAACTGACAAGTTTTTAAGTTGTATCTCACTTATTTATTTCTCTTATTTCAAGCTGTGAATCTAGAAAGCTTTCCTTGATTCAAAAATAAATTATTCTTTCTCTTAAAAAGTGTGCAATGAATGCGCTGTCTCAAGTGTCAAGTCTCGTCTGTGGGAAGGACATCCAGGGGAAAAAACAAAATGATAAGATACATGACGTGAAAAGTAATAATTCATCAAATTATTTGGAACAATGAAATTTGCTCGCTATTTGATAATTTTTTTTTGGTTCGTTCTTGTTCTATGCCTTGCCTCGTACGTCTCCAATTTTTCAACAACTTGTAGACTAACAAGTCTTCATAGTTCTGAGATTGGTTTACAACTCAAATTCCTGTCCAAAGAGTAAAAGCGAAAAGTTAAAGTAATAATTTTCTAACGGACAAAAATAGAACTTGAGCACTAACTTAATTTGTCAGCATTGATACAAATTTAACTCAGGTTGTACATTAATTTATGTAATTTAAAATAGTCCGATCATTCGGAGTGTCTTTTTTATCCAGGCGTTTTTATTAAGAGCCACGTATAAACAGTCATTTCCTTAAAATTTTCTACTGATAATAAGATAAATGAAAGAAAGGGATATTTACATGAAAATCCTCATGCCTGTTTTGGGGAATCCAAATCAATCGCCCGATTAATAAATTGACTAAAACATTGGCCGGTTTAGACAAAGAAGCGATCGTGGTGGGAAGTAACTAACTTGTGCGTCAATCCTTCTGATGAAATATCACAACAATGAGGAGATTAAATTTGACCAATTGTAACAACAGCTCTGTGGGCCAATTTGTTTATCTCGTAAGAAGACAAAGAAAAATGAAACATTTTTTTAATACCCGTGTCAAAAATTATCTGAAATAAAATCGTAAAAAGAATAAATTTAGACAAAATCCAAAAAGAAAAAAAAAACATCTAAAGAAAGGAAATATAACAATATCCTATTATTACAACAGGTTATTTCAATTCAAATCACAGTCGAGCTTTTCGTTTGTGGTCATGTTAGAGGAAAGATTTTCTCTGTTGATCAAACTGATCCGATTATGCCCTGAATCCGTTTATTTTCGATATTTATTATTCAATGAAGATGATAACTTTACTGACACACCATTTTCAAATGTTTTCACATTTTTTTCGTGACTTAAGAAGAAAGATGCCGAAGAAAAAGGAACCAAAGGTAATATGTGTTTATTACTATCAGTAATGATCATATTTGATCAGTATGATAACTTTCCACCTTTAAGTCCGGTATTTCTGACTACTTCTTGTCCCTACAATTTAACAACGGGGAAGATTAATTTTCTGTTAATTTTTTCCCTTCTTATGTAATGTTTAATTTATTTTAATGCTATTACATTTAAATCTTTATTTACATATTCTTTTTGACACGAATTGTGCCAAATTTTGTGCTTGTTTGTTATTCAAGGGACAAATTCAAATTTATTTTCTTAATGATCAATTAACGCCCGATTTCCATTATTACATCTTTAATATAGTAGTAAATCAATACTCAACAATATTTATTGTTGTGTTGAAAAAATATTACAAAATCCCAAACCACAATTAATTCATAATGGAGAAAACAAAAACAAAAAGGATGTAAAAACAATAATTACAATTATTATTATTAACTAAACTACTGGAGTACAAGTACCCAAAGTTTTATAAAGCAAAAATAAAACATATAGCTTAAAAGCAATACAAAAACTATAAAATAATTAATTTGTGTAGGCAATTAATAACAAAAGAATTAATAACTATAATAGTAATAACTAACCTACATCACGTAAAGGTCCCAAAAAGTAGACAAGAACCACCTTGGTGGAATGCAGAACTGGGCATATTGAGAAAAGAAACCAGGAAAGCGTTTAACAAGGCCAGACTAGGAAGTAACTGGGGAGAATATAAAAGGTTACTCACTTCATATAACCATGCCATCCGCAAAGCGAAAAGAGAGAATTTTCGCAAATTCTGCGGAGAAATCTCCACAGTATCCACAGCAGCTAGATTGCACAAGATACTAGCAAAGGACAGATCAGATATAAACACTGCCCTAAGAAACACAGAAGGCAAATACACAGAAGACATGCAACAAAAAGCAATGCTCCTTCTAAGTACACATTTTCCAGGCAGTACCTACAACATCTCCTCAGAAAATGTGAGAGTAGACAATCCCAAGAAAGAAAATTGGAAGAAAGCAGCTGAAATAATCACAGAGAAGAAAATCCTCTGGGCAATTAACAATTTCAGCCCGTACAAAGCGCCAGGAACGGATGGAATCTTTCCCATCCTGTTACAAAAAGGAATGGATATAATTACTCCAACACTGCTACGAATATACAGAAGCAGTTTAGCACTAGGTTATATACCACAGACATGGCGTAGGGCAAGGGTGGTGT